TTCCTCCTGCGAAGATCCGTAGACGATGGCATCATCGAGATAAAACTGGACGCCTTGACATCCTTCCAAAATTTTCGACATGATCTTTTGGAACGCTGCAGGTGCAGATGCCAGTCCGAAGCATACGCGCTTAAAACGGAAAATACCTTCATGCGTGATGAAAGCTGTTAGATCTCGACTCGCGGGGTCGAGACGAACTTGATGGTACGCAGATGCAAGGTCTAGCTTGGAGAAGACGGCTGCTTTTCGGAGGGAATTCAAAACTTCGTTGATATGCGGGAGTGGGAAAGCGTCGATCACGATGGCTTGATTTGGCGCTCGCAGATCCCACACATCCGGATATTTCCGTCTTGTTTCTTGACAACGACGGTGGGAGAAACACATTCCGAAGCGTTGCCGCGTTCAATGATTCCTTGCCGTTCCAGTTTGAAGATCTCTTCGGAGACGGCGTCACGAAGAGTTAGAGGAAGACGTTTTAGCCTTGACTGCACTGGTGGAACATTATGTCGCACCTTGATTTTGTGCGTCTCATTCCGTACTAGGCCCAACTCGGGATCGAACAGGTGTTCAAAGTCTTCAAATCACGGGGGTAACTGGGATGTGTCCCGTGGAGGTAGACTTGACTGCAGAACCTTCGAAGGAAGGTTGCTTTGCTCAGGAATAGGCTCTTGGTATAACTTTCTACTTCGAGGATCTGAAAGATCAGTATGACATTCTGGAACACTGAACCCACGTTGATCTTCAGGTTGACGCTCTGGACCACTGGCTCCACACTGACTTGCAGGATGACTATCTGGACTGGAGTTGGCCGACGGTGTGTGGTCAAACTTTTCGAAGACTTTGGGAGCTGTTTGTTCCCCGCAAGAAGGTTGTAGTGGCCTGGATACGTAGGCACCCGACGGTACTGAAGATGGATGGTTGTTGCTAGATGTAACTAGAGGTTGTTGACTTGGTGGCTGTGATGGCTGGCGAGACTACAACGTGAAGGGTCGTCGCTGCGGAGCGCCAGCCGGCAATACATTCCGAGGTGGCTCTGCTCCACTTCCAGCTGCATTCACATAGGAACAATTGTATTCAGCTCCAGATAAGGTCATGCTCAACTCGCGCACTGCGTCGGTTCCAAGCAATGATCGTCCCGTACGCGTCACATAAAATTCCAGCGGCGCCTATCGGTTCTTGAAGACCACTTGTCCAAAGAAACATCCCAGTACGGGGATGGGCTGGTGCAGATATTACACTAAGGTTCTTGGTGGACGGTGAAGCTTAATCTCACGTTTCCTGTTTACATGATTAAATGTTTGTTCGTTCAAATTCTAGACGTAAGATCCGGTATCAATAAGAAGCTTGAGAGGGGTGCCATTTACCTGGACATCTGCCAAGAACGCGTTGCGGAGACCCGGGCCGCGTGCGAGGCGATCCGTAGACTGCACCGACACCTCGTGCTGGTCAAACGTTACGCTCGGCAGGACTTCCTGATGGACAGTTCCCACATGGGTCGATCCGTCACGTTGATAAAAACGGCCGCTCTGGTAGCGTCCGGCAAGTTGTCCACGGCACCAGGGTTGTCCTCGACCCCGCACTGGAAATGATGCTTGCCGTTCATCGTTAATGAATGCTGCCGACTGTGCTTGACGACTGCGGCAAACCAGAGCAAAATGTCCCTGCTTGCCACACAGAAAGCACGTCGCGTTCCGTGCTGGGCAGGACTCGCGGGCATGGTCGCGCCGGTCACAGAACCAGCACGCAGAGAGAGAGCCTGCATCTTCTCTCTCCCTCGCCCGGTGAGGAGGAGGCTCGCGGACTGCTGGCCGCCTTGCCCGCCCTTGGAAACGGGGAAGATGGCCGTCAGACGATGGTTGACCCCACGGCACCACGGGATCTCGCTGCGACGGGGTCATCCCGGAGGAAGAACACGGAGGGTGACCATATTGGTGATAGAGTTGGGCGGGGAACACGGAAGCTTCGCCATCTTGATTCGCACGCCGCTGAGCATACGCATGAATATCTTGGACCGCTGCCGGTTCCAAACCGCGGCTTCCGTCGTTAACAGCGAAAGACGACACCGCGCTCGTCTGGCGATGAAACGATTCAGTCGTTTTCGCAAGTAGTTCAAATTGTATTGCGAGCTGGAACGCTCTGTCCAGGGTGGGTACCTCGGCCCCTAGACATTCACATAAAATGCGGTCCTGAACTCTTTTCGAATCCAACCCCTCCAACAAGATTTCACACAGGCGTTCGTCTGACGTAGCGCCGTAGGTACAGAAATAGCCTTGATGACGTAATGTGGCGAGGTATTCGGAGACTGATTCGCCGGGACGTTGGACTCTAGCACGGAGTTTCTTTCTTTCCAGTGTTACGGACCACGAGAACTCAAAGTGTTTTTCTAACTTCTCCAAAAATATTTCATACTCGTCATTGAGCTCAGTCGCCGGTACATCCTCCAAGCGGAATGCGTCAACCAGACGCTGGTCTTCCGTGCCGAGCAACGAAAACAGGAGTTGTTTTTTACGACACGGTTCCATCTGGTTCGAACCCCGAAGCGCCAAGAAAATCGGTGAAGGCACGCTCCCATGCCGGCCACGGAAGGGTGGGCGTGTCGGGAACAGGTAGAAAGACGGGTCGTGGCGGCACCATCGCCGTTCTAAAAGCGATATTTTGAGTCATGATGGTCAAATGTCACGGAAATAGTCAAAGCACGCTGAGGGTCGAAGCCTACCGTTAGGGAAATTGCAAGATTGCAACCGACATGGTGGTTGACAATGCAAATCGAAGGAAAGACTGTGAAGCAGCGGGTGGTTGGCTTGAACTAAAACCAGACGTTATGCGCAGCGATCGGGCGTGGAGATCATGCTAGGAGGGGACGGATCTAGGATGGAAAAAAAACGTTTACCTCGTCGCCTCCTCGTATCCTATCCTCGTCGCCATTGTAATATTCCGTGGGTCCGAGAACGCCGGCTCAGGATAAAAAAACAGACACGACCAGCCCCGTCCGAATCCAAGCACGATCTCCTTTATCACGAGCTTATCGTGGGGTATCACGTGGGCACGCAAGAGCGTGCAACATGGCGGGGCCGGCTTTTGGCGCCGCTTTGAGTTCATGTACTAAAACCACTACACTACTCGGTGTTGTCTTACTTGATCGTTGTCGTTGGTACATTTGTAAATGCCTTTCCCTTTTTTCAAGTGGTTCTAGTAGCCGGTCATACAAAAAATCGTGTTTTTCTTCTCGGTTATTTTTTCCTTCCTGATGTTTTCTATATTGTTGAACTTCCTCTCTTAATGCTTCTCAGTGTTCTACTTGCATTGCCACAGTTACTGTATTATGCTAATATTTTCTTTAAAGTAACGAGTAAAAATTTAATCCGTTACCAATATTTTGTAAGGAAATTACATTACAAATTACTTCCGAAAAAACGTAGTATGGCAATTACAAAATAATTTGCGAAAAGTAACAGATTACAAGTAATCTGTTACTTGTAAGGATTAGTTCCCCAAGTCTGACCGCGATCAGATGACGAAAGCGTCAATCGTCTCCAAGCGTAACCGTCTTGCCTCGCGCTTTCTTCCTCACCGCGAAAACGAGCGCATGCTTGCTTCCAACCCATAACCGCAGAAAGTGTCCGACATTAAGTTGCTAACGTTCCCCGTGTTTTGACATGGACCCTCTCTTCAAGCTAGGCTCTCCATCCTCCCCCACAAAGGTGGTGCCCCCACAATGAACCAACAGCGGTGGCACGTCAAGTTCTCTGACGGCGGCCCTGTTGTATTTTTGTCCTTCTGTGAGGCATTACCTATACAGGATACATTGTCCAGCGTCGACTAAGTAAGCGTACACAGGAATAGAAAAACCGAAAGAGCAATGAAATTGACATGCCTGGAAACAAACCTAATGTGGACTGTAAATGAGTGGTTTAAAGTGTCTCCGCGTTGAGCGAGATCACATGGTGCAGCTAGCATTGGACACTTCGCAAGCTTTATGACTCCGAAGGAGTATTTTTTACTCCGTGTTAATTAAACACTCTCGCAGCTTATGTGAAGTGGATTTGTAAGAGGTCTTGTTCTACAGTGTAAACAGTGCCGTTTTTTTTCTACTCGGAAGATGTTCCTGTTAGGTAAGCTGGTGGCAGACTCAGCAATGCCAAGGAAACAAGTCAGAAAACGTACAGCTGCAATGCACGGCAGAATTGACCAAGATTTCCCAATGAACATTCCCAGAATGAGATTGCAAAGGAAATAAAAATATCGCAAGTCTTGAACTGCTTTTACCATGAACTGCCAAGGAAGGGCAACAGGGAAGGGAACATCTTGCATGGCTTGTATACACGAAATCAACTCTGTGACGGCACGGCGCGAGGGTGGCACGTCGGTCGCACTTCCGGTCTGGGGCTGTGGGCAGAGGTCCCCATGCCAGACGTGTATTCCTGCGTTGTTTTGAAAGGAACCAGACAAAAACCTGCCTTCTCGTCAAAACGCCGCGACTGGGGTCGTGCCAAAAGTGTCGAGAAAGGTTTGAAGGTCAGTTTTCACGTGCTCGGTTCGGCCGAGAATCTGGATATGTGCCGTGAGAAGGGGAAAAGCAGACGCCGTCGGACAACTCTTGCTTGGGCGGGAAGCACTTTGGGTTGAATTCACGGATACTTGTGGTCATCAGATTCATTAGCTTTGTTCCAGCATGAAAGCCAGAAAACCGTCAAGTTGTGCGGACCACCTGCGGACTACGTTCAGTGCGTCTTCAAGTTCAAACGGCCGCCTGATCGTTCGAACTGTCGTCTGCTCTTTCAAACGTTTCTGCTTGTCGTCTGCTCTCTTAGCCCTTTTAGACGCCAATCGTTATTTCCGGAAAGAAAAGTTTTTTTTTTTTTTGTGCCTGAAATATCAATTTACGACCAAATGAGACGAAATCAGGTGCAACTTACAAGAAAATCGTTATAGTTTATCTTTTACAGACATGTACGCAATTGTGTACAAAGCGTCTCAAAGGTCATGAAACAAGGGGGCTTTCAAACATGAAATCTGTAAAAGCAGTTGCGATCCTTCGTCAGGCAAAGCGGCACGCGGCACTTTTTACAGAATATTCGGGATCTTCCTCTGCATCCTTCATACTTGCACCTTGATGGGACTGCTTGATCTCGAGCTTCTGGCCAGTGATCCACGCCATCGTAACGGCTATTCGAGCATGGCCGCTGGATGCGCGCTGCCTTCTTGTGCGGGGGATTCATGGGAGCATCTTCAATTTCTTGTGATGGCCTCCCACGCTTTCTCTTGCCTGGCACAGACGTGATGAGGGCCTCCGCAATCTGCAGGCGGAAATGCATGAGGTCCAGTATCCTTGACCTCCGCATGTCCGGGTGATCCTGTATGTACTCTAGCCAAGCATTGCATACAGCAATGTCTACAAAATGAAAGAGTGCTCTTAGCGTCCACTTCCTTGATTTGATTTTGATCCGGTACAGGCTAAGCAGGAAGTCCATCTTGTCGACGCCTCCCATATTCCGGTTGTACTTCGTAATTACTTCCGGCTGCTCTACAAAGATGTGTTCACGCTTGGCCTTGTCCCATCTTTTTACCTGCTGTTGGTTTCCGATTCCAACGAAGTTGGAAGCCACACATACGCTGCTGTTGTCCTTCCACGAAACCACAACAATATCGTCACTTGTGACATACTCAATGGAGTATCCTCGCGTTTTCTTTTTCATTACTTTAGCTGGTTCAAGAGGACACTTGCCCAGCCTGTTACTCCGCACAGTCCCTGCGCGAGAATCTTTTTTGTTTCGCAGTTTGCGGAGGAGCGGCACTGACGTAAAATAGTTATCAAAGTAGAGTTGACAATTACAGCCAGTTGGGACTCTTTTAGACAGGTGTAATACAACACCAGAACAAAGGCCGTAGTTTTTCTTCAGCTCATCGGGAATTGTGTTTTCCCCCTGATAAACCGCAAAGTCATAAAGCAGGCCGCTCCTACCGCAGAGAGCGAATATTTTGATCCCCCAAGGGGTTGGCTTGCCTTTGACATACTGTTTGATGGAAAGTTGACCTTTGAAGGGAATCATCTGCGCATCAATTGACGATTCTTGTTCAATGGCAAGCTCCAAGCACCGCTGCCTTATCTGATCCAAGAAAGGGCGCAGTTTCCACAGGCGATCGTCGTTTCGTTCACCAGGAGCTTCAGCTGCAACATGCAGAGTGTTGCGGAGCTTGAAGAATCTTTTCTCAGACATGGTCTCGCTGATCAAGGGAACTTTCATGATGGGGTCCCAGTAGAGGCTGACGCGAGGCAGAGCAATGACACCCATCAGAATATGGATACCAAAAAGCTTCCTTATTTCGTCAGCTGTCGTGTTCACATTATTGTGGGTTTCTTGGACGCTGTAAAGATTCGTCTGTTCCGCCATGCACTTGAAAATAAATTCTGGCACGTACCTTGAAAAATACGTGTGCGGCGTACACGGTTCGTCCGGCTCAGGTAGGCAGTCGCCGTGGCCGCTGAAGTCGATATTTGGTGGTGGGTCGAATCTTCTCTTTCTCCACTGAAAGTTCTTCACAACATTTTCCTCTGGACCTCTGTCTTGCAATAGTGGAGTCCGGTGCGCATTTTCTTCGTTTTCGCGTCCAGAGGTTATGCTCTCATCGATTATTTCTTGAGCAACGTCATCTTCGTCATCGCTTTCACCGACGTCGGATGTGTTCCCGGAAGCAATCTTTTCTAGTAATCGGTCGGCCGACTCTTTTGTCGCAGCATGGGGCTTTGCTTTATAAAAAGATGTGCAAGGCACTTCCAGAAAGCCTGAAAAAGTCATAATGCGGAACATTAGGCAGCGCGTTTGGCACACGGTCATTTTTTGCTTCCATTGTGACGCTTTGTACACAATTGTAACCATGCGCTAAATGCGTTGTTGGCAAGGTGCTGTTAGTGCATAGGCGAAATTATTTTGACCATACACAGGATAAAGCATTACAAATAGCTTTCATATTTTATTATATCCTCGGGACAAGAAGGAAAGTCAGCGAAAATATTTAGAATTGCCTTACCTGGCGGTGCCGTCCCGCGCGCTGCCATGTTGTCTGCTTACATGTATATTTGCTTCACCACTTACTAGATGGCGCTGTAAACACTTAGGTTGTCAGATGAATAGTAGACAAATTGTCTAAATTCATCAAAAATGCAGAGTTTCGGAAACGCTCGTTCTAGAGGCCGCGGTTTTGGAATGTGCACAATTGTGTACATGGCGTCCGAAAGGGTTAGACGACGCCGGCCCGTAGACCAAAATGTTGGCCCGGTACTTGCGATAAGAAGTAATTGCAGGCCTCAAAAGACTTAAATTTGAAGGTTGGTCAGCAGGCTCGATGTAAACAGTAGATGCAAGGAGATGTTGATTGTTGTTACCAGTGACCATCACCGACTTGCTATGCCTAATTCACTTGGTCTGATTCGGCTTGCGATTTTCAGTATTGACGTCGACCATATCAGCTACAGTTCTCGCTTTTACAGCCCGAGCGGCGTCGCGACTGAAAATTGCGAGCGAAATCTCATCATCGGAATCAGACTTTAGTGTACATACTGCGGCGTTCACGCGGAATGAATCGCCGCATGCCACATTATTTACGCGAAGTTTCGCGGTGTAACGAGCCTCGGTAATTTCGCTGACGCCGCTATAGTCAGGCTTCGCCCAGGAAGACGTAGAATCAACAATTCGAACGCGAAAAAGGGCAGTTGGACTCACACCGACGCCGACAACATCGCATTCCAATGCTTTGTTTACGGGCAACGGCGAGCTTCTTGCCCACACCCCCATCGCGCATGAGCGGCGCCGGTGGCGTCCGCTAGGGGCGCTTCCGTTTGTTTGTAAACATGAGTTGGTGTATACGTTTCTTTAAGAATCTACTAAACAAAGTTTGTTGGGAGCATTTTATATGAATTAGTTCTTAGCATGACATAAATAAGATAGTTTGCAACGTTTCCGCAATAACGCCTTTTTTGAACTTGACTTTTACGGATTGCTTTCTGGGGCGTAGAAAGGATATTTTTTTAAAGTTTTAAAGCGTCCTCAGCTTTGGACTGCCGTTGGACCTGAGCGGACACAAAGTGTCAATAATCATGATCTATCTATGCTACTCATAAAGTATAGGCCCTTTATTCCTCGAGTGTATGCGCAGTGCATAGCTGGCGCAGTTGGCAATCTTTACGATTCAAAAATGCGAGTTCCTTAGCTTTAAATACAGCGTCAGAAAGCTAAGGGATGACCTTTTGCTTTCTTGTTGCAATATTTTGACATCTTTGGAAATTTACATGTAAATACGTTTCTTGCGTTTAAGCATTTAAGGCTTCAGATAACTGCAAGTTCGCATGTTGTTTTAAGAATCAAAGTGGCCGAAATGTTGTAACACAAGGTGTGGCTTTTGTAGCTCTAGCGGCGACTGTAGCGAAATCAAGGATACCTAGTTGCTCGAAAAAAAGCCTGTACAGCGGCACAATTGTCCTCTAGCCTTCTCGAACAAATCAAATATTCACAGTGTCTGGCGGTCAAAAGACGAAGCAGTAAATGTAGGTTTGAAAATGCGTGATGAGAATCGCCAATACGTCATCCGACTGTGAACAAAAGCACAGTCCAGTGTGCGATCTCCAGAAGCCAGCGTGAGCTTGTGCATGGCTTCGGAAAGCGAGCAAAGCACGCGCCATATCAACAAAGATTGAAGATGGCACCCGCCATCTTCAAAATGCAAAATCGACGGAACCCAGCGGTGAGAGCCGCTGGGTTCGTGTGGTGGAAGGTTCGCACGCCAGCTTTCTTGAGCGAATAAAATATTCACAGCGCCTGACGGCCTAAAAACGATGCCGTGAAAATTTGTGTAAACGCGCGACAAAAATTATTAATGGTCGGTGATAGGCTGAGAACTCGATCCCGAGCTTTCTACCTTTGGTGTAACAGCTTAGAAGCAGGCGCCGACCAAGCCAGGCGGATGGCACTGAGAGCTTGCTGAACCACTCTAGATTCTTGACCACGCAGCTCTTTTATTAATTTAAATTAATTAAATAAACAATACAAAAAATGTTGCTCTTTCAGGCATGTTAGTCCGGATGGCTGATGGAAGTTTCTTCGGCGAAAGTTGGCGTCCTTTAAAAACAAAGTATTTGAGATAAAAAAGAACTGCGCCATCGAGCAAACGATTTCCATCTCCGTGGTGTGTCCAGAACGTGGATAACATTTAGACAATAAAATAGTCGCTAGAATTTCGTTTCACTATCCTTTTAATATGATTGATCGTGATATATGTGTGAAATTGTGTATTAATACTGCTGGAAGTATTTCAGAAAACCCAGGGCCAGCGGTCGCACTGCACTGGCTAAAGTTCACACCGCCAGAGGAGACATCAAACGCCAATTGGTGCCGCAGCCACGCGCAGTAAATGCGTCACCAGCTTCAGTGTTCTTTGGGCGTCTTTGCTTTATCCAGTGTGGCTAACCCACAAAGACAACGAGCATCGTGATGAAGCATTTTTGATGGTGCTTAACTGGCTTAATCCGATCGTAGCTTTGACTGCGTTTGCGCCTAACGTGAGACGCAGTATAATCACTCTTACAAACAACGGATATTAAAGCCTAATCTGGACATACATTAGAAACCAAAACGTAGGAACTAAAATTAACCCCAACAACAGCCAACGGCTAGATAAGAAGTAAGTGATGAAATGATGGTCCCTTTCAATCGATTATACACCTTCTGCTTTTCGTCTTCTTAGTGACACTAAAACACGCCAGAAGAAGCTTCGAACTGACCGCACCGGCTTTGCCAGCCATCCGCCAAAACTCGCCGGCACTGGATGGAAGGTGGGCCACGCATTTGTCATTATGAGTCTTGCCCGGCCGATAGGACGGAAGGCGCAGAGAGCGGTCCAGAAACAGGCCGACATGGGCTGCTAATGGAACTTGTGTGTACGCGTGGGAGAGCGTCCGAGACAAAAGGAAGGAGGTCGCCGAGTCGCTCCTCTGGCGGCGTCCCTCAAAGCACGGAACGAGATATCGCGGCGGGACCGAGGAAGGCGATGAAGGATACAGAGTGCTTTGTGCACCGGGGCTCCCGAGGCACCCTGATCGATTGCTGGGATTTGCAGAGGGGGCAAACGAGCGAGTTTTCGGCCACTGGATTCTGGCGGCCTGTGGATTTGCAGTGCGAAGAAGCGGCTTTTTAGGAGCCGGCGGGGGTGACAGGCACGGCTGAGTAGATTGCAAGATGACTTTGCGTTTTATTTTTTTTAAGTTAATATTATTTTCTGAGGAATAAAGTACAAAGGAAATAAAGCGAAGTGAGAGACATGAGGCTAGATGTGGGCGATTATTGGGTCGTTGGACAACGAGGACGAGGGACGTTTTTCAGCGAACAAAGTGTTTCAGATGTGTCACTCTCCGGCGCACAAAAACTGTAGTTAGAAAGAATATAACTACAGAAGAAGAAAACAAAGAAGCTAGCCAAGGCGGCCGGCCTCGGTTGGCTTCTGAAAGTTGGAAAAGGGAGAGGGGAGATAACAATGGAGGAACAAAAAGGAAAAATGTGAGATTCTGCGGCAGTTCTGGCGTGCGGACATTTTAAGTATCTCTATTGATCGCTTATGTTCCTATTCATCTATATAAACATAAAAAAAAGTTTGTTGCTGTGTAAGGTATGAGTACATTTTTGTTTTAAACCTAAAGTTGTTCTTTGACTGCAAATCTTTATGTAGGAAATAAACAGTTAATTATAATTACAACTGGAGGAAACGGAAAAATAACAACCCCGAGGAAGGTGTAGCCGGGAAAAGCGCTCAACATGATTTTTTTTTTATTTAATAAAAGAAAAATGGGCCGAAATCTCATAGCATTTTGCGCAGCGGTTATGTTTCACCAGACTTGTACACGTTACTGAAAAATAGTAAGGGATTACATTTACAATTACTTGAGGCTAAATTGTAATTTATTACAATTACAATTACCCTCCCAAGAAAGTAACTGACCGTTACCCCAAAAAGTAATCCGCTACTTTCGTGGCGTTACTTTTAACACTATTGTCCTCAACTAAGAAAAAAAAAGGGAAGAGGGTTATTCAAGTTCTTATTGTTGCCCCCTGTTCCATTTAATGACCTTGAGTATTTTGAGCAACAGCTGGCTCTCGAAAGTCTCGTCAGACATTTTGCGTTATTTATTACTCAATATGTCGACTGCTACGCTGAACACCATTTGAGCTGAGGCACTGGATGGGAGTGCCATATTGTTCTTCACGAATGCTTCATGCTCTGCATTGAGCTTTTTCAGCGAAGCAAAGGAAGTACTATTTACCTCGAATCTAGAGCAAAGCTTTGTCGTTGCAGCCGTTGCCTGCTATTCGAGAGATTAGGGAGTTTTCGTAGATTGTTTTCGCCG